CTGCCCTCCCGCCGCGGGAGAAAGTCCTCTGCGCGCCGGGGACGCAGCGCTCGGCCTCTCTGGCCGCATCTCCCGGCTCGGGAAACTCGGATCTGAAACTGCCCTTCTGGCCACCTCACTCCCTCTCCAGCCGTTTACTTATTCAGGAACAAGGTGACGGCGCTGGGGTTGCAGAAAAGCAGATTGATGAGGGGTGGCGAGAAGGGGGAGAGAGCCTAATGCGTTCCCTCCGACGGGCCCCGCCACATCTCTCTGCACCCTTCCTTGTTCAGCAGAGTTGGCTGGGCTCAGCTTTCCCGAGTTTCAGATGACAGCTGCCCTGGTTGGTTCCAATTTGGCCATTTAAACCTGCGAGTTTCTGGAGCTCGGCTGGAGGAGTCTCAAGTGGCCCCAGGCATTACATTGAGGAGGGGGCAAACTGTAGCCTCGAGTAAAACGCGACTTTTTGCGCCGCAGGGGTGTTGGACTCGTCAAATTCCGATCCGTTTTAGTAAAATGTGTAAGATAAAAGTACAAACTCGTGAGAGTGGCTTACCTCAGTGTAGGATCAGTTCTTTAAAGTTTTTTTTTTAATTTTTTATTTAACATGAAATGCGCTTCTTCAGCTTTATGGTAAATAGCTGTGCGCTGACAGGTATTTTAAATTCGCTTTATTGGTAGTTGTAGTATGTAGCAGAATAATGATAAAATTAATTCTCCCTTAAGTGACCTATAAAGTTCTGAGTCTGTTATTTAGGATGCGTAGAGGTTAGAATGTTTTAGGTTAAAAGAATAGCTTTCAGGAATAGCAAAGAAAGCGTGGTTTGATTTCAACCTGATGCTAACGTGTGCGGCCCATTTTTCTAAGTTTCTAGACTAAATTGGAATATAGAAGGGATTACAACTTAATTTACTAACATTGAGATCAGTTGCTTGCCATTATCACTTAAGCTGTGCCCATGAACAGTGTATACCTAACTTTTTGGCTGAATTTCCTAAATGACATGATGTTCAGCCATGCCACTTCATTAAAATCTGTGTATCCAGTATAATCCTGGATAGTTAGTGTGAGAGCTCAGTAAAGATTGTCTTGAAAACAGAAGTCCCTGAAAATGCCATTTTGTAGTGCATTTCATGTTACAGCATAGTCAGCTGGTGACACATTAATGAGATCCTCACTGAAAATAAAGGTAGAAAATAAGGGTCCGAATTAAAACAGCTTTGGATTAAGGTCAGAGTGATACTTCATGTAGTTGAGGTGATCATTTAAGGGTACCCAAGAATGTTAGTACTTGTTATAGTGTTTTAATATATTTTTTGCACTTATGTTAAAATTGTAATAAATACTTTTCTCTGTAATAAACGAACCAGTGTTTTTGAATACTACTAGGCATTGTTAGTATGGAATTTTAAAACTATGAAATTGTGTGTTTGAGTAATTTATTACCAGTGGTATCCATTTAGATAGCTATAGTATCACTTCTTTGAGTATTAAGTTCTTTGGATCATAAATACTGCTTTTCCAAAGAAAAGTTCAAATAAAATATACCAACTACCACAATTCTTTTTTTCTGGAGAGTATGACCGTGGCATAACTGGGATGGGAGAATGGGATGTGGGATGAAAAGATTACTTCTGGAATTTAATTATGGAAGCCCTTATTCTTTATTAGGGTAATGATACTTAAGAGTTAATTGCCATTTAATGAAATTAGCTTAAGTGTGTGTTTCAGGTTAGCTTGTTAAAGAGTTCTTTTTGGGAGGAGGTGCAAAGGGAAAAACTTTTTCCTAAAGATGTTGCCACACATCCTTAGCTTTTCATGCATACAATGGTGGTTAGTAGTTTTAACCTGGATATATTGTTATGAAAGTTCTTGTTAGCATGGAGTGTTGATATGAACATAAATGTATGTATGTGTGTATGTATATATATATATCTATATATCTATAGATAGATATATAGATATATATACATATATATCTATATATCTATCTATAGATATATAGATATATATATATATCAAGAAAAGCTTCCTTATTAGGCGGATTACTTTTCTGAAGGAATTTGGGTAATTTTTGCAAAAGATCATAGAATATATAAGTGGCTTAGTTCACATTATAAGAGTCTTATGTAGTTTGGAATCATTTAGTATAGACCTCTGGCATACCTTGATTAGAATCCAGATTTGCTTTTATAAATATCTAATTTTAATAAAGTTAGGTGTAGCATAGAAGTTATGAAAAAATTATTTGACAATTCTCTCCAAGCTTTTATTTTCCTGAAATTTTCCCTTGTTTTGACTTATTTATTTTGTGTGTGTGTGTGTGTGTGTGTTGACAGTTTTAGACAGCATATTCTTCATAATTCTTTGGTTTATTAGGATGATAGTGTCATGCAGGTGTTGGCCTTCGGATCTCTTTAGCCATGGCATTTACTAAGAAATTAAATCCCTTTCAAGTACTAACCAGGCCCAAAAGACATTAAATCCCTTATGATGTTTTTGTTGGTTTTTTGTTTTTTTGAGACAGGGTCTCACTTTGTACTTTAGGCTGGCAGTGATCTCACCGTGATCCTCCTGCCTCAGTCTCCCAAGTGCTGGGATTATAGGTGTGGACTACCACACCAGGCAATTTTTTTGTTTGTTTTGGTACAAAAGGGATCGAACTTCAGATGTTGCGCTTGTGAGACATGTGCTAAATTTAGCCACTGTGCTAAATCCCCAGTCCCCCTTTTTTTATTTTTATTATTATTATTATTTTTGGTGCTGGGTATTGAACTCGGGTCCTTGCGCTTGCAAGGCAGGCCACTGAACCGCTGAGCTACATCCCTGACCCTCCCTTTTTTTTTTTAATACCTTGCGTTTGCCGGGCTGGTGCTGTGCCACTGAGCTACACCCCTGGACTTTCTTATGATTTTAAAAATAAATATATAGGGAGAAACTAATAATTAAAGACAGCCGGGCCAGGGATTTAGCTCAGTGGTTCCACCACCTGCTTTGCAAGCTCGAGATCTCAAGGTCTGACAATCCCTGGTACCAAAAAAAAAAAAAAAAAAGACAACCAGTAGACTTATTTTCTAAATTCACTTCAATGAGAGTAGTGATGTGGAGTATTCACTTGGTGGGCATGTCATTCTGTACATTCAGGGATAATCCAAGAGAATTGGTCCTGGTGATCACAAGTTTCTAGATTTATGGGAAGATAACCAAATGCTGGACATCCATTGCTGTAGTCTATTTCAGAGTATCTCTGGAACGTCACAAAATTCTTTTAGATATTCATATATAGCAGCCTTACAGACACCTACTTGATGAGTAACAATAGTTTTTTAATAACATCTACCATTTATCTGGTATTTATTATGTAACAGGTCTTGTGATAAGGGATTAACAGGTTCTCTCATTGAGGCCTCAACAACCCTATGAAGTAGATATTATATCTATTTAATAGATGAGGTTGAAGCTCAGAGAAATTAAATAACTTGCTCAGTATTACGTAGCTCGTGCATGACAGTTTAAACCAAGGCTACTTTCAAGAGTGCCAATTTCTTTCCCTCCTTCTCCTTTTTCTTTGTTTCATTTTATAAAACTGTGTTAAAATGTGACATAAAATTTTCCAATTTAACAATTTTTGTAATGTTTCAGTGGCATTAATTACATTTATGTTATACAACCGTTACTACTGCCCATTTCCAAAATTTTATCATTCCAAACAGAAGCTGGATCCATTCAACAGTGTGTTTTTGTTCTCTTTACCTTTCAATCCCTGGTAACCACTAGTCTTTACCTTGATGAATTTGCCAATTCTAAATATTTTGTACAAATTGAATCTCAGTATTTGTCTTTTGTGTTTTATTTCATGTACCATATCTCTGAGGTTTATCCTAATGTAGCATGTATCAGTGTGTAATCTTCTTCATGGCTGAATAATTTCATTGTATATATTACACTTATATTTACCTATTCATCTTTTGGTATACATTTGGGTTGTCTATACATTTTGGTGTAAATAATGCAGCCATGAGTCTTGATGTACAAGTATCTGTTTTGACTCCATTTTCAGTTCTTTTGGCTGAATAACTAGGAATGGCATTGTTTGATGGGTAGTATGGTAATTCTGTGTTTATCTTTTGGAGAAACTGCAGACTTCTTCCCACAATAGCTGTATCATTTTATATTCCCACTAGCAATGTCTTCACCAACTTTTGTTTTCCATTTTTTAATCACAGCAACATTAGTAGATATGAAGTGGTATCTTGTGGTTTTTTATTTGCATTTCCCTAGTGAATAGTGTCAAACATCTTTACTTGTAATTGGTAGCTATTTATATATTTTTTTTTAAAAAAATTTTTTGTATAAGCCCTTTGCTCATTTTTAATGACATATTTGGATTTTTTTTCTTTTTCTGGGTTGTAGGAATTCTTTACATATTTTGGATGTGAAATCCTTATCAGATTTATGAGTTGCAAATATTTTCTTCCATTCTATGAATTATCTTCATTCTCTTGATGGTATCCTTTGATGTAGAAAAGTTTGTAAGTTTACTATAATTGAATTTATTTATTTTTTCCTTTTATTGCCTATATTTCTAGTTTGAAATATATATATTTTCTTCATTGATCCCTTTACTTATAAAAGTTAAAGATCTAGGTCTAAGGATTTAGCTCAGTGGTGCTGTTGCCTGCCTTGCAAGCGCAAGGTCCGGAATTCAATCCCTGGTACCAAGAAAAAGAATAAAGATCTAAGCTGAATGTGATGCATATGCTTGTAATTCCAGCCCATGGGAGGGAGGGAGGGAGAGAGGAGGATTGAAAGTTCAAGACCAGCATAGTCCACATTGTGAGACCCTGTCTTAAAAAAAGAATAAAGACCTAGAACCAATATTTCACAAATCTGTTAACTAACATTTGCTTCCTTAGCTGTGAATAGAAAATTTATTTCCTCTGTCTGATTTGGGGAAAGGTTATTAGTGAGATGTTTTTGAAAAGTTGGCAACAGTAATCCATAAACCTACTTCAACCCCCCCACCCCCCCCCCCCCCCACCCCCCACCCCACCCCACTCCACCCCACTCCTAAGGATTGAACCCAGGGCCTAAATTAATTAATTTATTTAGAGACAGGATCCCAGTGAGTTGCCAAGTTCCCCAGGCTGGGCTTGACCTTACAATCTTCCTG